ACTGTCAATAACGAACAATATCCTACGAACTCAGTGTGTGACTATAAACCTGTATTTAATGGGGATTAGCATTCAAAGAGAATTTCACCAGTTCTCTATGCTTGTACCATTATTACTATAAAATAGAGCACGGAGACTTCTCTCTGGTGGACTCAGTATGCTGTTTTCATGTTGCATCAAGGACCCCTTTCCCCCCTTCAGTTCAGGTCACACATTTAAATCTATCTGGGTACTCAAAAATATAAGTGCATATTTGAGAGTCTTCCCTACCTGTGACTTTCTTTTCATTGTCATCGTAGTTGCTGGATGTCAGTAGCTGTCCAAAGATGAGAGCGGGCACATAGACCTTCTCCACTTTGTGTTCCACAACTGGAATACCTTTCCCGTTGTTCCATACACTGATTGTGTTGTTCTCTCTAGGGGAAAAAGACAAAAAAAGTGGTTTTAAGGCTGCAAATGACCGAGCTACGAAACAAGTTTTATACAAAAGCTCTGGGGAAAGGCCACCATTTCAAAAAGGGCAGATCTCCGTGCAGTAAATGCAGAAACAGCCAGCAGAGGGAGGACAAGGCAACAAAAAAATTCTCAGCTCTCCAGATACCCTCTGTGAAATGGACCACCACACATAAAAAACCTCTACCTACGCTCAATGACAGAATAAGGAGGTTGAGAGGCAGAGGAAAATGGCCACAACAGAAAACAACAACAACAACAAGCAGTCACTTCACCAATCAGCACTCTGTAAGACACCAAGGGACTAAAAAAGAAAAAGGCTTTCACAGCTGGTGAATTACATTTGTTTAGCTTGGATCTGCCTCATCACAGAGCCTCCCAATATTACACCAGCTTAGCAGAACAGCATCTGAGTGAGAAACTCTAACGCACTTGAGTTGGGAAGGCAATGACCAAAATTGAAATACAACTTACACATCAATTGTAACTTTAATGCATGACATGTTCTTATCCCTTTGCTTGTTGTCTGCAGCATTGACTAGAATAGAAAGGTTATTTTTATTACATTACATTTGCAATCAAGGCAAAACTATTAAGTCTTTTCAGTAGAATGAATACAGAAATTCAATACAATGTTATTAATCATCTTGGTATGCAAATATTTTGCAAGTGACAAAGATCAGTACTGTAAGTTAACATAAAAGGGAAAATTTTGGGCTGAATGAAATTTGGTCTGCAATAGAGTGCGCCATCATCCCATGAATGCTTTACTATTAAGTAGTGCTAATGGAAGGACATTGGTATGTAATATTTCCAAGCACAATTAACAAGCCATGTACTCTGAACACCATCCACCAAATTATGCAATAAACATTACTTGGGCAACAATGCAACCAGATAAAAGAATACTTGATAAGTTCTTACATTTAGTTGCAGTTTCTTAGACATTCAGCACCCATTAATAACTGACCAATCTTTAACTCAACAGACAAGCCACCTTACCTAAAATCTCGTCAAAGATTTTGTACAAGCCAGGCACAAAGGTCACATCTCTGCAGTTGAGACCCACATCCTCATCAAAAACCCACATTTGCTGAAAAGAAGGCAAGAAAAACTTAAGTCCTCAGGTACACCTCCAGTTCTGTACCATCAGTTTGTAAAGCACAAGGCTTTACAAACTGATGTTTTGTGCTTTAGAAGCAGACGTTAACGACTTCCCGCCTGCATCGAGGAGTTCAGGCGGCTTAGCCCCGCGGCTCTCCCTCGTCCCGGGCCTCCCCCCCCCCGCACCTGTGTGACCAGCTCCACGGAGCCAATGTAGGTGTCGGGCCGGAGCAGGATGTGCTCCAGCTGCGTCTTCTTCTGGTAGATATGCTCCACCGAGAGCTGCTTCTTGGGGACATTGCCCTTGGGCAGCCGGACGTTCTCATCCACGGGCTGCTCGGGGGAAGAGACAGCGGTAGTGAGGGGCAGCGAGATCCAGGAGGTGAACGGCGGGGGCGCGAAGGAGATGAAGTGGGAGTCGGGGGTTGGTGGAGAGGGCCTGGGCGGCGGGGGACCGGGACACGGTACCAA